GGGCGGAGGGTGAGGAGAGGTGGTGCGTGTTAGGCCAGGCCTGGGCGCGGCTGGCGGCATGACCTGTGACACTTAACGCGGTGAGCGGGGCACCTGCCTTTTGGGTGAGCGGATCTCCGGCCTGCGAAGGTCAATTCCCATGCTGTGAGCCCCGCTGGGTGTGTAAGGCGGTTTAGTAGGGGCTGGGAGTGCCTCTACCAGTGACAGCTGCCTTCTGCTGCCCAGCACTGTGGTGTGATCCGTGCAGCCAGCTCCTGGCATGGTTAGGGGCCAGTAGCTCCACCTGCAGAGAAAAGCTTTGCTCCTCTGTGCACGTGGAAAAACTTGAGTTCTTGCTGGTGTAGCAATGGCTAAAGTGGTGCTCTGGCTCACGGGTCGTTGTGTAGCACGAATGAGGAACCCTGCTTATTTGTCCAGCACTTCTTGGAAAAATGATGGTCTCCGAAGCTGTGGTGAGTGATGCACATCATCTGTGGGGAGCTGTGTCACAGTGTTCTTGGCTCCAAAGGTGATGGGAGTGTGTGGCACCAACTAGAAGTCCTGAGCGCTGACTGGAATCTATGGGCCGCACCAGTGATAAACCTTGACTGAAGCTGAGTCTTCTGTTTATGTCCTCCAGACTCTTGATCCCCCCCCCCCCTTCTTAGTGTTGGAGGTGGTTCATGACTAGTTTTGCGTGTTCTCGTCCAGTTTATCCATCTGTAAAAGGTAGTCCCTGGGATGGTGCGAGGGTGGCAATAGTGGATCAGACCAAAGGACCCTTGTCTGTTCTCTGACAACAGGTAGAAGTGGGTGCCCTGGTAAGAGTAGAAGCAGAGAGCAAATTTATAGTGGTGTCCTGGATTGTGTTTCCAGTCTTGGGATTTCCGAATCTGTATGTAAAATTGCCATTGACAAGAAATATCCGTTGCTCTTTAAACCCAGACTAAACTTCTGGTGCCACAGTGTCCTGCTGCAAGCCATTTCGCAGCTTAGTTAGCTGTCGTGTGAAGAAGTGTCACTTCCTGGTTGTGTTGTCAGCGTGTTTCCCCTCACCACCCCAGCACTTGTATTGGAAAAGCACATGGACATTCACTTGATAATTGTCCTCCACAGGGCAAATATCTCACCAGTAGTCTCTTGTTCTAGTCTGCAAACCTGTAGTCTGTTTTGCTTGTGTCTCATACGGAAGCTGTTTCGTACCAGTGACCAGGTAATGCAAAAAGGAGAAATTGAGTGTGAAATTATCTTGGGTGCTTTCAGTGTGATGTTTTGGCATGGGTTAGATTGCCAAACATCCCAGTACTTAGAATATGTATGAACTCGTTGCAGCTGCTCTGCTTGAGTACTAGCAGCCTGGGAGGACTGGTCCACTGTGTGGTATGGAAGACATATCTGTATTAGCGAGCGCTTGGCTTTCCTTTTGTGTGTGGCTTAACTAAGCAAATAAATGAAGGAAGTGAACTCTTACAACCTCAATCCATGATCACAAGTAATTAGATAGCTGATGTTTTTATTTTTGCTATCCTACAGTAGTTGCAGTGCAACGCAAAAGAAGCAGCAAAGTGACGTTTTGGACATCTCTGAAATCCTCCTCACTAGGCTAATTAAAGAATAAATTAGGCAAACAGATTTAAGGAATGATATAGGTCTGCTTGGTTCGGTTTTGGCTTTAAAGTGCTTTCTCCCACTCGCGAGTCCAGCTGGTGAGGAAGTGCCACGGTTAAAGGCCTTCATGAAGCAACCAGAGAGTTTCCTGCGTAAACGACTTTCTTGCATATCTGTTTGTAATTCAGTAGAAATGAAAGCGGGTGAATGTAGGAGTTACCAGATGTGGCAATATTCAGCTTCTGCAGTTGAGTCTCCAAGGGAAACTGCTTTAAAAAATAAACCTGTTTGAACAGAGAGAGGTGGAAACTGATTCAGTGGAAACTGAATCTCTCATAAAGCTCTACAAGGAACATGTTTCTCGTTGAAGAGATTATTTTCTCATATGTCCCGTGTCACTTATCAAAGAGACTTTTGGCAGCTCTGGCAATTTTGAGAAGTGCTTAAGTCAATTTAGCAGCCAGAAACCGGGAGCTAGAGCACAGGAGTCAGCTGACTGGAGGTCATGGTTTCATATCAGTGGTTTGAGGGAGAAAATAAAGCTTTGAAGGAGAAAAACATATTCTGAATTCTGATAGGGATAGTTCCTGTTTATTCTGTAACTACTTTTGGACTTCAGGAAAAATTTCTTTACTGAAAGAGTGGTTAAACATTGGAACAGGCTGCCCAGGGAAGTGGTGGAGTCACCGTCCCTGGAGGTGTTCAAAAAAACTGTTGATGTGGCACTTGTAGACATGGTTTAGTGGGCATGGTGGTATTAGGTCAATGGTTGGACTTGATGATCTCGGAGATTTATTCAACCTAATGATTCTATCATTCTATACTTTTATAGTTGCTCTGTGTTTTTTTATGAGCTTGGTCTAGAAAATAAGTTGCTGTAAGTTGTGCCAGTGCCTGCTTTGAGGATGGGGTGTGTTTGGTGGCTTGCTAAGACAGGTGAGCTTGGTACCTATGTCTGGGGAGGACGAGAGCCTGGCCTGGTCACAGGCTTGGGAGAGTGGCTGTGGGTGCTGGTATAGCTGCATCAGAGGGAAGTTTGCTGCTGATCCGGTACGTTAGTACAGTGGTTTTGGAGGTTGTTTGGGGTTGGTTCGTTTTGAGGCCAGTCTGTTGATTCAGCTCCTTCAAATACTCCTTCAGCCTAACAAGAATGACTCTGTCCTCCCCTCTGTCTGCACGTGCCTTGAGTTGGCTCCTGGGGCAGTGCCCCAGAAACGGGTGAATAGGAGCTACCTGCCAGAGGAGGCCCTGTGTCTCTGCTTGCTTTTTTTTTTTTTTTTTTTTTTTGAAGAACAGGTATTTTTGACTGACTTGCATGCAGTCCTAGTGGGTGTTCAGAGACCATGTGCAGTGAGCAGTGTCGCTTATAGTATGAATTGGAGGATCGAAAGATTTTTACTGTTCCGTCAATTCTGCTCGGCCTATTCTAGAAATATCAACATGATGTCGTGATTGTTTAGCTGTGCTCACCTAAAATATGTTTCAAAATTTTCCCTGTGTATTTTTAACATCTGATTGCTTTTTTTGTTGTTTCCTTTTTATTCTAGAATTCTTCTGAGAGCCACAATTGTGCCAAAAGCATCTTGACCTCAGATAGGCTGCAAATAGTTGTGACCCTTTCGGAGTTCTTTAACGAAACCTGGGAGGCAGCCAACTGTGCAAGTACGTGACTGTTGTGTAGCTTTCCTGCTACTGTTACGACTTAGTCCCTAACATTTGCACTAATCAGAATGTATGTTTAGATACAGGCAGTAGATAACACAAAAATTCTAAACTAGAGCCACTCCAGCGAAGGGTACAAGAGCTTTTTACTCTGTAAGGGGTACTGCCAAGATCTGAGGGTGCTAGCCTGTTGGAAAACTTAGTTGTCATATAAATATTTCTTTTAGGCTAGGCTTTCAACAGGTAGGCTTGCTAGTTTTCTTTGTGACCTGCAGACATTGATGGAGACTTTCCTTCGCTTCATTGCAGTTTCTTCTGGTTTTCTCTGTCTTCCCATTTAAAAAAAAAAAACTTACATAAGAAACTATTCCTTGTTTGTTAATAAAGTCAGTAGCTCTGGGGTGTTTACACGTTGAACAGTATCTGCTTCACAGCCATGCTTTTGATTTCGTTTTATGGGTGGAGGGTGTCCAAGTCCATCCCAGTATCTCTGTGTCCCTGTGCTGATGGTGCTGTGCCATGTTTACAGCTGAGCTGTGGCTTTTTGCCATTCCCTGGTGTGGGAAGTGGGATCCTGCGCTAGGAGGTGCACTAGAAAACAGAGGGAATAGCGCTACGGAGATGCCGGGTTTGCTGCAGAGTCCCTTGAGAGCCCGGAAGAGTTTCTTTTAATTTGTGAGTCTGTGCTGTGTGAGGGCTGGAAAGGCAGTACAGGAGGAGCTCTGGTCTGTGCTCTCCTGCCGTGCTTGGCCTGTGACCTGTGCGCTGCCTGCTCAGTGTCCAGCTGAACGCTTGCCCTCAGCACTGGTGGCATTTCCTTCTTTCAGGAGGTTTTTCTACGATGTTGGCTTGCTGTTACGGTGCTGTTGCTGAACATCTAAATTCTCAGCCCGCTGTTGTTTTCAAGGGTCTGTCTGATTAGAGCACCTGAAGTGGGGTGGGATGGATGGAAGCAGTAGCATGGTAGGGTTGAGCCTGTGACTGGGAGGAAAGCCCCAGAGTTCCCCTCAAAGCTGGTGAAATGGTCAGCTCTTTTCTTAAACAGTAATAAGCTATGCTCTTGATTTTGCTGTTGTGTTCGTGGTCTAGCTGTTTCCTGGATGTTCTCCGTTTCTTCTCCACCGCTGGTGCTTCTGTGTTCACGTAATGGCTGTTAACTGTTGCTGGGCAAAGCCCGACTTTCAGGGTAGAAAATAAAAGTAATGCCTTGTTTTATCTTAAAAGTCCAAAGATAATTCAGACCTCCTCTTCAGAAAGCTCTTGATGATAGTCTTCATCTTTCACTTAATCAAGGCCAATTAATTCTGAAATATGCTCTCGATGAAGAGTTAGGTCAGCGGGTCTGGGACATCAATGGCAGGAAACTGCAGTGTTGACTAGACCTGTCTTTTATAGTCGAGAGCTCTTTCTGCAGGAGTGGAGTGTCTGGGGCTTGTCGGGTATGGAAATGTTAGAAATTAGAATATCCTGATGTTTTTCTTTCTCTTTGACAGATTGTTTAAAGAACAGCAGTGAGGGATTATCGAATTCTACTGTAGAATTCCTGGATTTATTCAATAAATCTCTGACATGTTTTGAACATAACCTTCAGGTATTTATGCTGTGTATTTAAGAGAAGCACTAAATCCTCTAATTGCTAGCAAAATCTTATGCTGAATAAACTGCAGATATGTACTAGGCAAATAAATGGCTGGTGAGTTTGTGAATTTTAGGCAGATAAAGTAATGATCTGTAAAATGCAGATGTTTACAGATCAAGAGCCTAAAATTAATCCTAATTGATATTCACCTTGACTTCATTTTGTATGTAATTGCAATGCTACTTCACATCAGAATTTCTGAATTCACAATAGTTGATAATTATATAGTAAGAAACATCGTGTCTGCATGCTGCAATCTCTTTTTCTGCCTCTTTGGAGAACTGTTGGCTTCTGACTTAATTCAATCTCTAAATAGCGTTGTGATAATACACACTAGTTCAGAAAGACCAGTACCTTAAATCACTGTAACAGTTCTTTTGACTAGTAAAATTCCGGGTAGACAAAGTTTGTCCATATCACAAAGGCAATATAATTCACTTACTGAAATAAATGTAGTAATTGTCCTCAAAGAAAATGCCCTAAGTAGCCTAAGAAACTGCGTGTGTTCCATTTCAGTTGGAAACTGGGCAAGTTCTGGGATCATTCAATGGTAAAAATGGGAAAGGATAGTTGAGACAATCTCTGAGGAAATTTGTCTGGTTTTTTAATTATTAATGACTTCTAGCCTTTATAGGCCTTGGCCAGGAGCAGTGTGGACTGGCCAAGTGTCTGAACTAGAACTTAACCCGGTGGTCGGTGGGTAGCTGATACAGCCACTACTGGGTTGGAGTATCTCTAGCGATTGTGGTCTTGTTTTCAGGTGTGTCATACTGTGTGCAGGGGTAGTAGAGGCCACAAATGGAAAGAATTGCTTGCTGTGGCAAAGTCTCTCCTTATCAGTACAGCTCAGCAGTAACAACAGTTACTTGTTAGGTGTGGGCAAACTAAAAACAAAACACAGTATTGAGGAACCTGATCTCTGGCTCTGAAATGACATTTAATTACCAGTTTTGTTGTTTGTTTGTTTGTTTGTTTTTTTTTTTTTTTTCCATCTGGGAACTGGTACTTTAAAAAATCGTTTTC